AAAAAAAAAAAAAAAAAAAAAAAATCGAAAATTCCACCCCTACAAGTATATTCCCTTGTTGACAAAATGTTTTTTATCATCCTTCTTAACCTCATACTCATTGCCCCCCATTCCATACAATACTCCATTTAAATGATGCATCAACATTTTTCTTTAGAAATTGTATAAATCTTAGGTACTATATCTCCCCAATTTCCCGTGACAAATTAAAAGCTCTTTTCATCTTAATTCTCTCCATAACCATGTGTCTAATATCCTCTGATATGGATATAATTACTTTACTTCTAATTTTTAAAAACCATGAATTAAATATCTCCACCAAGTTATTGTCCGCAGTGTCACATTTTGAATGAGTTTTAAAAAAAGCCTTTAATAAAGCCTCAAATTGTGATTCACATGTCAATGCTTTGACTCATGAGGATCAGTGCGTAGAGCCATCATCAGGAAACAAATCAAATGGTAATAATGCTTAGGATCGAGGAAAACTAACAATCAGGGAAATTGTGAACGCTGATTTTTTTATGTTAGAAAAATTTTTTAAAAAAATTCTAAAACATGCATGATTTCACTTTTTTTAAGAATTTAAAAATCACCCAAATATAATAAAATTAAGAAATTTTCTTAAAATTAAGTGTAGAATATGAATTAAGTTAAAAAAATTTTTATTATTTGAATAGACATCAATCGAGAGGTCTGTTTTTATAAGAAGATACTTGTTAAAAGGATGTGTCCTTATAAAAAGACACCATTATTGAAAAGTACCTTTTAACTACTAAAAATTGTATTTGAAATTTAGACATGTCTTTCTAATTTTAAAAAAATTAATTAAATTAAAAAAAATTGAAATTAATTAAAAGATAAAGTTTCTTCTAGTAAGTCAAAGCCTCTAAATCAAGATATAAATAGGCAGGCCAAAACCAAAAGTTCACAAGCCATGAGTCCAACTTTCCATAATTATTTATAGGCAAAAGGTAAACATATATAAATCTCTTTATTTCATTATTCTTTCTAGATATAGGATCTCCTTCATTTCAAACTATTCAACATTCCCTAATTAGTTCAAAATTTTAATTTAGTTTTATTCAACAAGAAATATGCTTAAAAGAAGGTATTTCTTGATTTAAACCTTCTATTAATAAGCATACCTCAAATCTAATGAAGTTATTGGTATTCAAAGATTAAA